AACCGACCCATATCTTCTCAGGGCTCCCAATATGATTAGGTTAGAAAATTCGACTAAATTAATTTTAAAAGAAAATCACATTCAGGGGCAAAATCTGTTCTCTCAGTAGCTTCTGAATCCTACTCGATTGCTTTGTTTTAAGGATCATGCGATTACTGAAGTGTCAGGGCACCCAGTTTAAAGGTTTTCACTCTTAGCTTTTTACGTAGGTCGTGGGCTTTTGCCTAGGAAATAAAAGGTGTGGTAATACCACGTTGGAATGAAAAGGGCACACTCGCACGCTCGCACGCTCGCACGCCCACAGAATACTGCGGAGGACTGTTAATGATCTTCCTCTTGACAATTCTTTATCTGTTATTTTTTGCCTAGGTTAAAAGTGTGACCAATCCAGCATACTCAGCTTTGCTCAAGAGTACATTGAGATCATAGATTATCTGAGAAAATCAGTTGAAATTCGTCCGAAAGGTAGGCAACAAAACAGGAAAGAGATATAATATAAATATTTGAGTAACACAGGCCGAGTGAAAAAATAAAACAGAGACAGACACAACTCTATTAGCATTCCATCGTGTCATGTTGTCGAAATAAGATTTTCAGTTTGATCAGCTGTCCGTTTCTAGGGCTTTATTGATAAACTTTTGACCCCAAATATTTTAGTCGTTACATTCTCGAAATATTGCGAAATAATAAAGCTACATAAAACTTAAGAAAAATAACTCGTAGGATATTTTCGCTTTTTTTAATAAAATAACAAAGAGAATTGTGCGTCGTTCACTTGTCTTGTTGGTCTCTGTGTCTGTGTCTTGGTCTTCTGATCTGTCTATAAAAAATAATCATGACTTTTTCTTACGTATAACAAGCCGTTGACGACGCAACTGAATGAGAAACAGAGTGTCTAGACGCCTCTTTCACTTGAATTATCCTTTAATCACCCTTAAAGTTACGTTTCCTACATGTGTTTTTGTTCTAACAGAATAAACTTTAGCTACTGTCTCACTTTCGTTCTTCAGAAACCCAAACCATTCAAATTATTGAGGATCCAAAGAACCAAAGTTCTCTTATCGGTTCCATTGTAACTTTCAACTGCACTGCTACTGGTAGTCCCAGGCCAACCATCTCTTGGGAAAAGAATGATGATCCATACGCTTTACAAACCAACCCAAGGGTAGAGGAGAAGGTTATTGTGTTAGACAACAAAGCCGTTCGTAGTCAGCTCTTGTTAACAGGAACTGAGTTGGAAGACAATGGTAAATACCACTGCGTGGCTAATAACAGCGCTGGAGAAAGAATATCAAGAGTGTCTTTCTTAGGTTAGTTTATTAGGTTGGAGGCATTAATCTTTTACTTTTGGAAATGAGAACTGTTTTTTTTCTTCTAAAGGTGCAGATAATTTATCTTAAAAGCTTTATATTTTGGTCTCGTCAAAAGAAATTTCATAAAGAAAGAGAACATGAGGATGTATTACTTATGAGAAACAACTACTGATTTTTCGCTTACCAAGTACCTTTGGAAATCCGAATAGCGAGGACTCTTTTCCAGCTTTTTCATCAGTTGTCTTAGGCTACTCTAGGCTTGTCTTTCTTCCTTCTGGTCTGGTTGCAAAGAAGTTTGCGAATCTTCAGCTATCGTAGCAATAATAATTGCCTCATTTTCATTCCTCAGACCTCCAACCTATTCAAGATGTGGAGGATCCAAAGAACCAAAGCGCTGTTGTTGGTTTTGGTGAAATTTTTATCTGCATCACCAGGAGTCATCCAAAGCCAAGCATCTCATGTGTACAGAGCAATAATGCTCATTCGACGCAATCCACTCCAACGACCAACTTCCATCCATCAGACACCCCGACTGTACCTCAAATTGTTGAAGATCGGTGGAACCTTAGCATTGTCATCGGTTCGGATGTAACTTTGAATTGTATTACCACTGGTCATCTCCAGTCAACCAGCAGGTGGATCAAGAACAACAATTCGTATTTTTTCCAATCCTATTCAAGGGCAAAGATCACTCGAGTTCGACGTGACCAAACTACTCATTACCAACTATCTATAGAAAAAGTGAAGAAGAAAGATGGGGGCAAATATCAGTGCATTGCAAATAACATAGCTGGTGATGAGACTTCAGTCGAGGTCAACTTACATGTCAATCAATTAGGTAACAAAATCTTGCATTTAGCTTTAGCGCGGTAAAGAGATCTCAATCTGTCCTTCTTAGCTGTATGTATTTACATCTAATCTTTCGACAGAAACATTAAGTTTACCTGTAAGGATAAAGATAAAACATTCGAATAGAGTAACTACAGAGAAAGTGTCATTGACAGCAACGTCGATTTTATATTTCAGTCTTAGGCACTTCTAAAGTCTGGCTTAATGATGTCCGTTGTGTCTGACGGCCACGGTTAATTCCTTGCATAAAAGTGTATGATAACTCTCTCTCTATTTGTTAAAACGTATTTAAATTGCTACCGTCCCCCGTGCGTGAGATGGGGAGAACTTCGTGATTA